ATAGAAGAAGAGGAACAACCATTTAAAGAGAGATTTTTGAAGATTAATGTTCATCATATCACAGATGGTCAGGTAAGATTCACATTTCCACTTGTATTTATATAAAACTTTTATATATTTTTATGATTCCATTTTCTGATATCAAAGTTAATTTTGTTTTTTTTTTTTGTTCACAGGGTGTTATTGGTGGAGTGCTACTAGTTACACCAAATGCTGTTATGTTTGATCCCAATGTTTCTGATCCCCTTGTAATTGAACATGGAGCTGAATCTTATGGTGTAATTGCACCAATGGAATTTGTAGTGAATGCTGTAATTTATTATGATATTGCACATATGCGTGTTGGACATACAGAATCTGGAAATTTAGATAAGAAGCCAGAAATTTATTATATGAAGAAACCCACACAAAACGAGAATGTTAAGTGTCAGTCGCCGGAAAAGGAGGAAAATTATCCAGAATTAACGACGGATGATAGTGAAGATGTGTGCAGCTGTATTGAAAGAGATGGAGATGCTTTTCCAAAGGCCTTTGAGAGAGATCTCGTTACGCCCACCAATCTTCAACGTGTACGTCAATTTCTATAATAAAAAATATAATTTTCACGCGGTAATAATCGTTCAACGCTAATCTGAATTTTTTTTTTATTCATTTCACAGGAAGATGATACAACGACAACCAAAGAAAAAGAGAAAGGAAAGGAGACTAAAGAGGTGTGCGGTGGTGGTCAAGGAAGTAGAACGTTAGAGGAACGTAGGCGTTCTATGCTTGACCACCATTGGCCAGTTCCTAGTAAAGATCAGTATCCTTGGCCAGTCGAGGATGAACAAGATTCTTTAAATTCTGACAAGGTTTGTTAATTGATCCTTGCATATTGAAATTTAGATCAACGTTATTTTTAATCGAAGTTCAAAATTGAATCTTTGCGTTAATATTTGCAGACCGACTCCGCGAAATCGAAGGCGATTCCTGAAGACGAAGAAGGATCTCTAGTCAAACTGTCATGCCACGACTCTGGTATTGACATACGTGACCCTAATCCCCCTTTCCCAGTAGTTCAGCCTAACCCTTCAAAGAAAGTATACTCAGACGCAGATATTGTCTTATCTTCAGATTGGGTACCTCCTATTACTATTGCCCCGACGAACGTTACTACTGATACGCTTGATACTGGTACTACTGTTAACGGCAGAAAGAAGGCGAGTTCGGTATCTTTTAGCTTAGACAGTAACGCGGAGGAACCTGAGAAAGATGATGAACATAAAGACGACGACAAACAAGAGACCCGTAGGAATAAGGTAATGAAAGAAGTCAATCCTTTCGTTATCCGTGTACTTCATTTTCCATCATACTTCAACGATCGTTCCACTTTGTTACAGATGTTAAAACGATTATCGTATCCTTTATCTTGGATGGAAGGATTAACTGGCGAGAAAGAAGATGATAGCAAATCTAGTTCCGATAAAGTTTCAAGCCTTCCTAATAGCGCGGATTCTCATCACTCGTCAGTTTTCAGCAAAGTTTTCTCAAGGTGATAATCTTTAGCCCTGTTTGGTTTACAAAATTTTCCATGAAAATTTTTTAATAATATTTTTGTAAGATATTAATAATACGCTTCTATATTTTACTTTTCTATTTCGTGTATGTTAGGAATGAGTAATTCGATCGGAAAGAAGTTTGCGTATTTTATATATACAGGGAAGGTCGATCTCTTGATGCTCGATCCTTCTCTATAGGTAACGTTTGTTTTTCATGTGATTGCTTTCTGCTGAAATTTTTTAGAATTTAAAATAACATTTATATAGCGTTATATGAGGCTATTCATAGTGAAACAGATAGCGTTCATCGTCCATAAATGTGACGCAAAAAACTGTTTTACTGTATCCACAGACATGTTTTACTATGAATATCCTCACTTATTCACATAGAATATTCATTAGAGAGACTTGCGCGTAGAAACAAGCGGCTTATTGCATTTGCAAAACGCGCTTTGGGATACGTTCCATCTTTTCTTTTCTTTTTTTTTTTTTTTTAATTTAAATCTCCGAACGGAGTGTACGAATCAAAGGAATGGGCACGTGTGACATTTCCAGCTCAGTCCAGAAGTTGTCTTCGATAACCTTGTACCATCATAGTCCGTTTTCCAACTCTGAACTGTCCAATTTCTTCTAAGAGACACCATTGTGACCATATTGTAGATTCAAAAGAAATTAGTCGCTCAAGGCTTACAACTATGAATAACCAGTCCATTCACAGATCATACTGAAATAAACAGTATAGTAAAACTGAACCTTTGAATGATCTTAAGCGACCAATTACTTCTCGTAGCTGCAAGTAAACAACCGAAGAAAGATATGATCGTGGTTCTCTGGCATTTTGACAGACACAGTATCGATCAGACTGTGATGGTAAATCTGTGTGTTAACCATAAAGCTTAACTATCGTTTCCAAATGTGACTAACAAAGAATATGTAATGGTGGTGGATATAAGCTCGCCGATCAACCTGGTGAGTGACTTTAGCTCGGGCCTGTTTGCTAAAACTCCCAGCGAAGAGAGCGGTGGGGGCGGTAGAGCTGGAGGAACACCTCCGCTTACCGCCTCCTCTCTCTCCCAGGACACCAGCAATCCTCAGATTTCACCTGGTCCAGGAGGGCTTATGGGGTGAGTTTGGGCCCGGTCATGAACCAGCAAATTATACTGTATCCACTTTAAATCCACGTTGTCCATTTTATTTTCAACATTTTTTATCTTCCTGCTGTTTTCTGCTGTTTCTCTCTTTCTCTCTAACTGTCTCTTTTTATCTGATTGGCTGTTGAATTTTATTGTACCATTTTTATTGAACGTTTCTCTCGTTAGATCTCTAGTTTTATTGTCTGTTGTTGTTATTTCCTAAATATATATACACTATAAGTGACTCGTATATTGTAACATCGTTCCCCGCAAGTTCTCTCTTCAACGAAGTAAGAAGTTACTCAGATTGTACTCGTAAATTGTTCCACTCTATCTCAAGCTTCTCATCAAGGACACTCTTATTCTTGCTTATTATTTTGCCTGTACTTTGTGTTTCTTTTCTCTTTCCACAAAATATAAATATACGTATGTTAATATACCGCTCTACAAAGTACTACCGCTTACAAAACAGCAAACACACGATTCACCAGTCAGTCGAAACACAGCGTTTTTAGTAACCCTGAGCAGCCATCCAGTTTATTTCGCCGTACATACACGTTGGATACAATTAAATGTTTTACCTTGAATGTTGTCTTCTCCCCACGATTAATCGTTCTTTACAAATATGTATCGTGTACCACTCGATGTACGTTGCGTTGAAATTACAATGTACACTCTCGGTGTGCTTGTAATTTTCAAACGCAACTAACCTTAGAATCTTTCTAACTTTTGTAAATCATTGATCATTATATCGTTTCCATTTCAGACGATCTTCCGTGGGCACCTTCATCAGACAGCAGCCGTTGACGTCATCAGGTAGCAGCAGCGTGGACAGTAGTCGAGGTAGCAAAACATCGACCACGGCGCCTCGATTAGACTACCGCAGTATGGTCTCTGTCGAGGATATGCCCGAGCTGTTCGTCAGTTTCGACAGTAAGTGTCAAGGGTGTTGGACCTGGTCTCTATGGAACGCGACATATATATATTTCATACACCACATATTTACGGAATGATCGAATTCGATGATTGTAAGATACATATACTGTGGCAGATTCCGCTCACACAAAATGTACTCTCCTGGTAACAAGGGTGTTTCGTTGTATTGATTGAATGAAAAGAAAAGAAAGAAAATATCGATGCACACGCACAGTGTTTATCTTGTTATTTTGTAACTTGAAGGGAAAGTGTTATTTTTTTTTCTGTTTCTTTTTTTAATCAATATATTATGTTGACAAAGAAACACCCTAACGAAGGGATCGATAACTCTATAATTAATTACACGTAGCCACGAATACATGAAAGAAACGGCGAATAAAGATGGCAAACGGGATTACAAATACCACGCACTGCACTCGCTCGTATGTATAGACGGCTTCTTAAACGATGTTACTTTGCTAGTGCATTCATTATTGTCCCTTTCTTCGAATATTTTGAACGCCTTTGGACTCGATTCTCGACCCAATTCTCGCCTATCTTTATACGTATAGAGAATATATATGATACAATCGACCAGATGCGCTTAAGTTCTTACGTATTATTATATTACACGTTGAACGTAGTTATCTCTTGATATTATTGTCTGTATGGTTTTTAAATTCTACTCGTTTGTCATTACTAGTTCTACATCTTATTATTATATTCGGTGTGTCATTATACCCGTTCAGTATTGCTCCACGAATCTGTGTCACTGGTTTTAACACAAACAAACAGTCGGGAGGGAATTACTGACGTTGTTCCAAGCGTCTGAAATACCTGACACGGATTCGTGGAACGGTTTCTTCTATCATAATCGCTTGGCTTGGACTCTGATGCCGTTTTGCTGTTGGTCGCAGAGTCTAAGCACGAGTCCCTTCATTATTAAGCTGATTATCGTTAATTTTAAAAGAGGAACATTATTATGTCTCCAAGATTTTGGAACTCTTTGTGCTGCATGTACTATGAACTATTTTTTCTATATCTTGTTGTTGAATATTAAATATCATTCTCCAAAGTAAATTAATTCATAATATTTAGTTCAGTGTTAAAAGATTTTTTAATATATTTTTAAATGCAGCAGAACGTGTTTCACGATCGTCTGCCAATGAAATTCATACTAATGCAGTAATGTCATATGTTTTGTTGTCCCTCTAGTCCAAGCACCTAATTTTCCCGAACTCGACGGTCTCGGTAGGTTCATACTGTATTAGCTTGCTTTTTTCCCCTTTTCTGTATAATCACCGTATCTCCACGAACGTTTTATTTCGATCATTATTTTATCGTCACCTGTTTGACACTTTTCTGTTTTTCTTTCACACCTTTTTCTCTTACACCTTGATAATTTACCTTTTGTATCATGCGTTGGATGAATTTTGCTAGTCGTCGCCACACGACGGTTTTTGCGTGTTTCTTGGTGGTTGTTTTTTTTTTCTTCAATTTTTTACTTTTTTTCTTTGGAAATTTTTGCCACTGCACCTTGCACA